AGGAAACTGCTGCACGCAGCTAACTCGCGCCCCATGGCATGTGTTCCTCTCACACTCGCTTCATCATTTCACCTCGCTCATATTTTTCAGCTTCTGAAGTGGTTTCAGCGAGGATCCAGCTCATAACTGATTTTTTTTTTTTTTTTCCTGTTTCAGACATAAGAGGCTGCCCTCGAGCCTGGGGTGCAGCGGGAGGAACAAGTGAGCAGGACGGCTCGCTACCCTTCGCCCCCTGCCAGATCCAGCATTTTTTTGCAATCCATCATTTTTCCAAGAGAGATCTTGTATGGACCAAGCTCGGTTGCCGCAGCCCCGAGCATCCCGGAGCCACACGCAGTGCCCAGCCCTGGAGCCCAAACACCCTGAGCTCCGACACCAAATGGAAAAACACCATAAAACCACCGCCAGAACTCTTTTTTTCCCCCCTTTTTCCCTTCCTTTCCTCCAGAAGACAAACATATAGTGGCGAAAGCAAAACCCCATAAACATTTACGGGCTGTCGGCCTTCAAAGGGAGGAGATTCCCAGGGCTGGAGGCAATCGGGAGCTTTGCACGTGGACACATCTCGCCCTCGGAGCCCTCGTGCCCTCGGTGCTGGCACGCTTTGGGGACAGCCACCGGCACCGACCCCGCTCTCCGGGACAAATCCTGAGCGAGGCGCGGAGCGGGGCTGCAAGGTGCCATGCCCCAGCCCCCTGCTTGCTACATCTGGATGGGGGACACAACTTCAGACGGTGACTTTTTAAAATATAAAATGAAATATTGATATAGATAGGTATTAAAAGGTGCATTAAAATGGATATTAAAATATACCTATTGAAATATATCCATTACAATATATATTAAATGCATTAAAATATCTAGGACACATTTATTCAAATCTATGTTGAATATATATTGAAATGGATTAAAATATGTATTGAAATATAAATTAAAAGTATCATTTAAAGCCATGGGGTTACGGATCCGGGCTGACACCACCCTGCTCGCGGGGCGAGCCCGGTGGCAGTGGCACGGGGCCGGTGGCGGTGCGAGGGGAAGGCGATCTCCTGCAGCTCTCATAAGGCAGCATTATGTAACGGGGGGGGGGAGGAAAAAAAAAAAAGCACTGCTTCCCAGCAGGTTACATAAACCGTCCTGAAAAAGTGAGAAAGCTCTCGCCAGCCCCGCTGCCCACTGCTTGGCACCCGCTCCCCGCTGCGCTGCCACCGGGAGGGAGCCGGCAGCCTCCTCTCGCCGGGTTTCCTCCCAGCCCAAGGAGAAGAAAAAAAAATAATATTAATAAAAAAATATATTTGTAACAGATTTGCTTCTGTCTGCATGTCAAAACAGCAGCCACGCCTGTGGGCAAGGAGGAGCCGAGCTGACAGACCTGGGTGGGATTTTCTGGTGCCTCCGAGCTGCTCCGGCCACCAGCCCCGGTCCCTACAGGGTGACAGCGCCCGTGCCACCGCCGGGCAAAGAGGAACTCGTATGAATTTAACACGGGGTAAGCAAGAAACTTCTTGTTTCTTGCCAGTTCTGCTCCAAAGTCGTGTTTTCTCCAGGATAAATACAGCTATCAGACTTGGATTTTCAATTCGTAAAAGCATCGAACGAAAAAGCCTCGAAAAGCCTCGACAAATGCATTTATTTTCGGCCAGGTGAGCCTCAACCACAGCAACCCCCCGCAGTGACAGAAGCGCTGTGTTAATTTATTAATTACTCCTCATCCTCAGCAGCCTTTTGAGAGCACGGGTGTGAAACCCCAGCGGGCTGACCCTACACCAAGGGTCCTGCACGGCTGTAGGGGGGATAAAACCCAACCTCTGCCCGCAGCCGCCCCGGGCGGGCACAAATCAGCGCTGGGGAGGATGCACAACATTTTTTGGAAAATAATTTCCAAATTATCGTGTCCCGTTTGCAAAACTGCAAGCTGGAGACCCCCACCGAGCCCAGCACGACCCCCTGAGCACCAAGTACCCCTGCACACAGCCTCCGGCTCGCTCTGAAATCGCAGCCCCGCTCCAAGGGGGCTTGCTCGGAGAGGGCAGGGAAACGCCACCAGCGGTGACCCCGAGCAGCCCAGCGCGGATAAAGGGAGGTGGCACGGGGAAGGCAGCCAGGACGGCTCACAAATGATGCAAGATGCGGGGTGTTGGTCCCCCAGGAGTGATTTTTGGGGGCTGGTGCCCCCCCGACACCGCGGGGCCAAGAGGAGCGCACGCGTGCCGGCGGCGTGTGCGAGCCGCACGCTGCTCGAGAGACCAAGCCAGAAACATCACCGCTTGCAAGCGAGGAGAGGCGGCGCTTCCCAGAGCTGCCCTTATTTAATTAACCGATTAAATTTAACCGAAAGCCCCAAATTCTTGGAATGGGAATCCTTCTAACGAGGCTTATTTCCTAAGAGCGGCGCTGCTATTTCCGAACACGGAGCATCGCAGGCAGGAGAGGGTTTAACTGCCACCTCTCTCCATCCCACCCCCGTGCTGCCGACGGTTCCTTTACAGCCGTGTTCCCAATTTTCTAATAAAGCCACCCAAAAAAATCCGGAACCAAAAAAATGCAACCACCACCACTGATTCGGGAGAAAGCCCGTCAGCCCCACGACAAACAAGTTACGTTAACTCACGCACTATAGCACTCAAGGCCGTTTCTTTACACCCACTAACATGCAGCATTAAAAATAAAATAAAAAAAAATAAAAAAATAAAAAAAAAAGAGAGAGAAAGCTAATAATTCATTATTTCCCTATGACACACATGAAATGGCGAGGCTCCTTCCTGAGCTACGAGCACCCAGAGCCAGGAGAGGTTGCAGTGCCCCGGTTTGAAGACCACCTTGCACGCTATCCCCAATTTGGGGGATTTCAGACCAGCTTGCACATTATCCCCAATTTTTGGGGACTTCAGGCCATGCCCGCTCTGTCCTGGGGAGGTTTCCGAGCCTTTTCCCAGAGCAGATTAAAGAATAACACGCTGCCTTGCGCGGGCGCCAGGGATGCTTTTGAAACGTGTTTACCCGGCTCCGCTCCTCCTGCACCCCGGGACCACCCCCGGGGCTGTGCATCGGGGGGGGGCGAGGTGCACAGCCCCCCCATCACCCCTGCCAGGGGTAATTAGCTGGGAAGGTAACGAACGGGGTGACATCAGCCCACCAGAGCTCCTGGCCTCCAGGCCCTCCGCCAGCACCCAACACACCCGATGCAGGCTGCTAATTAACATCCAGCTAATTACCTGCTGGGGATGCTCTCCAACGACGAGGCTGGGGGCTGCCTCTCCAGAACCCCCCCAGTGCCAGCAAGGAAAGGTCGGGCTTGGGAATTGTCCTTGGGGACCGCCAGGTCCCTCCGGCACCGGGTCCCACGCTGCAGCCACCGCTGTGGCCACCACCAAGGCCACCACCAAGGCCACCACGGAGGCCACCACCGATGCCACCACCGAGGCCACCTCCTTGTCCTTCCTCCCTGCTCCTCTCCTTCATCCTCGCCACCTTCCCAGTCCCGACCGTGCCACCACGTGCGCTCTTCCCTCCTCGTGCGCTCCGGACGATGCGCAAATCCTCCGCGGGTACCCGCTGCTCTCCTCCTGCCACCGCGCATCTCCTCCTCGCCGCTCCTCCATCGGGCTCATCGGGGGCCTGGGGAGCGTCCCCAAAACCACATCCCGGGGTTATAAAATGCTCAGCCCCGAGCGAGCCGCTGGTGCTCGGCGCCGGGGGGCTCCGGGTTAACCCTTGCGAGCGGCGGCCGTCATTTCCTCCGCGCCGCCGGTGGCTGCGTGCCCCCGGATGGCGTTAGCCCATAAATAGGTCACCGCCTTGGAAATAAAACCCAGGCACTGCGAACGGCAGCCTTCGACGTGTCAGCCCCGCGTCCAAGCGCAGACGCCGCCGTTGGGTCAAAACGCCATCAATTGGGGAAAGGGCTGATAAAAGCCAGATATTTTGGTGCTAGCGATCTCCTGACGGGCTCCCCCGGTTGTGGGGCAGGGAATGGGATGGAGGCACCCGGCTTCGGGCAGTTTCAAGGAAGGAGCAATTTGCATTTCCAACTTTTTTTTTTTTTTTCTTTAACTTGCCATCCGTTTGCAGCCCGGATTCGGTGCCCCAGCGATGCCCCAACCGCTTCGACGGCCCCTTAGGGAGGGAGACGGCTCCAGCACCACCCACAACACCCCCCGAGTGCCAGCTCTGGGGTTTTTCCTTCCCTCTTTGATCCATCCCACTCATCGAGCAGAAGGAAACCCCAAAACCGAGGTGCCCCAGCCACAGGGCTCTGTGCCGGGGACCCCAAATCGCCTGCGGAGCTGGGGCCACCCGTTGAGCCCCCAAATCCTCCCCCCGGGCTGAGCACAACGGGCTCCGGTTTGGGCACGGCGAGCTTACCTGGGGATGTGCTTTGGGTGGAAAAAATCTAAAAATAAAGCTCTGGGAGAGCTCCGTGCCCACGGAAGGGGGGGGGAGAGGGAGCTCAACGGGATGCCACGTTTGTGGGGTCTGCTGTCCCTGCCCCAAAGGGAGCCCCAAAGGGGCTGCAGGGGGGACACCGGAGGGAACCCAAAAGGGAGCCCCAAGGCAGAGGGAATCCCAAAGGGATCCCCAAAGGGAACTGCAGAGAGAACCCCAAAGGGAACCACGGGGGGAACCCCAAAGGGACCCCAAAGAAGACCCCAAAGAGGACCCCAAAGGCAGCCCCAGAGGGAACCCCAATGGGAACCCCAAATCCGACCCCAAATCCAACCCCAAATCCCTCCCCCCACCCCGGGGGCACACTCTTGGGGTCTGCCCCTCCCCATCCACATTTGGGGCCAGCCCAGCCCCAGCCGCACCCCCAACGCCCCCCCAGCACCCCTCCCGCGTGGGCTCCCGCGGATTTCCACGCAAAAAAAATATAAAAATAAATAAAAAACGGGGAAACCCCACGGCAAAGGGGGGGGTCCCCAGCCGAGTTCGTGTCCCCCCGGGACCCCTCTCGCCCCCCCACCCCCGAGCCCCCCACGCGTGACACGATCGCTCCCCACCTGCGCGCCGCCGCCGCCCGGCTCCGAGTGGCTCCGAGCGGCCCCCGCGCGGCCGGGGCTCCCCCACGCCCCCCCCCAGCTCCATTCCCATTGGTTCTTACCCCCGCCCGTCTCGCGGGGAGGGGTTTTTATTGGTCGGGGGGCGGGGATATGCAAAGCAGAGGGGGGGGTGCTCGGGGTTGGCCCCGCCCCTTTTGGCCCCGCCCCGCGCCGAGCACTTGCTGGGGGCAGCGGGGGGGGGAGATAAGGGGGGGGTGCAATGGGTTTGGGGGGTGCAATGGGTTGGGGGGGTCCTGGCCCTGTGCAGTGCCCCCAGGGGGGTCTTGTCCCTCTGCAGTGTACTGGGGGGGGTCTTAACCCCATGCAATTCCCCCTGGGGGGGTCCCATCCCCATGCAATTCTCCCCGGGGGGGTCTTATCCCCGTGCAATGTCCTGGGGGGGGGGGGGTCTCAGCCCCGTGCAATGCCCCCAGGGGGGTCCTGTCCCCATGTGATGTTCCCAGGGGGTGCAGCTCCATGCAATACGCCCCGGGGGGGGGCTCTGTGCGATGTCCTGGGGGGGTCCTGTCCCCATGCAATGCCCCCAGGGCGAGCAGCCCCATGCAATTCCCCCCTGGGGGGGGTCTTACCCCCATGCAATGTCCCACTGGGATGCAGCTCCTTGCAATGCCCCAGGTGGGGGGGTCTCATGCCCATGCAATGCCCCCGGGGGGGGGTCTTGTCCCCATGCAATGTCCCAGGGGGGTGCAACGCCCCCGAGGCCACCCCAGTCCTGGTGCCCCCAAGCTCCCCCCCCCGGGTGCTGCCACAGCCCAGCCCCCAGTCCTGTGGCCCCATGCAATGTCCCTCCGGGGACCCCAGCCCCAGAAATGTCCCATGGGCACCCCAACACCCCGGGAAAATAAATAATAAATAATAAATAATAAATAACAAATAATAAATAATAAATAATAATAAATAATAAATAATAAATAATAAATAATAATCAGAAATAACACCCGCCAGGAGCTGGTGCTGGGGGGGCATTGTTCCGGGGGGACGTGTCGGCTGTGGGGACAGGCAGAAATGTTCCCGTTCGCGGTAACCCTGATAAGATTTTTCCTACGAGTTGCCTCAAAATACCCCTTTTTTTAGGGAAAAATGAAGCGTGTTGGAAACGCGGAGCCCAGTGCTGCTTTGGCCTGGTCAGGAAATTGCAGCGCCTGGACCAGGAAGGGCCAAAAAAAAATGGACCTTGGGGGGATTTTAGCCCTGGGCAGACTGAAAACAGGGGTTTAATGACCTGGGGGGGTGGTTATAATGTGTGGGATTTTATTGGGATTGTGCTCGACCCGGTGCCCCCACTCCCAACCTGCTCCTTACGTCTTGACCCCATAAAATCCCCCACGGTGCTGCGGCACCGAGGTGCTCCCACAGGGCTGGCCCCTGCTGCTGAACTAGGCTTTGCCAGCTGTAATTTAGATAAAACCGGCCCTAAATGGCAACACGGAGTAAAAACGAAAGCCTGCCTTCAAAAAAAAGTGGCAGATTTGGTTCATTTAGGACAGCTTTTCCTCGCCTAACGTGACCCCGGTGGATCCGGCACCCCCAGCACTGCCTGAGGCACTGCCTCAGTGCCTGGATCCGGGCTCTGGCCTCGAATATTTCCTGCCCGGCCTCTGACAGCTTTCAATTCCTCTTCACCGGATCAATATTTGGGGTCCCAGCTCCTTGACTGCATATTGGGGGCAGAGGCCGAGGCCCTGTAGGATTGCACCAGGCCGGCGGCGGTGCCGGGGGCTGCGGCCTGCTTCACACCACAGGAACGATGAATGTGTTTGCAGAGACAAAAATAAGAAAATATACGGTTAGAAAGCACAGGAGGGCTGTTTTTAATAAATCTTTGCAGTGGCTGCGACACCAGCACCACTACGGGGCCGCGGCCCTGTCCTCGCCCACCCCGATGTCGCGGCCCCGCTCGCGAGGAAATTTGCTTTGAGGCGTGAAGGGAGCGGGGGCTGACGTCGGCTTTGGGAAGCCAGGAAATTCACGGTTCCAGCCCTGGCCTCGCTTCACCCGCCCGTGCCTGGGTGTTGCAGCACAGGCATTGTGCAAGACCCCACGCTGAGCTCCGACCCCGCCGCGCTCCGGAGTTGTGGGGCCGCGGAGCTGAGCCGGGATTTTTCTCCATTTGCCACCCCTGGAGCCAACGTGGGAGCCCCGGAGCCCCCCCGAGACCACCCGGTGGGGCTGGAGGTGACTGAGGGAAGGGGAAAAGATGGGAGAGGGGCCACAGTGGGGCTGTCCCAGGGGGGGACGAGGAGCCTGAGGTGTTTGGGTGAATGACGGGGACGAGGCCTCGGTGCGGCGTGGCACCTTGCATGCTTTGCAGCAAGAGGAAAAATAAATCACCTGATTTGGGGGTTTAACCCAGAAATCCGTGCAAAATGCAGCAAATGCAGAGCTGAGGGCTGGGTGCATGACCCCCACCCCGGTGCCCTGTCCCTCCTGTCCCGTCCCAGGAGGAAATGTGCTCCTCGGGAGCGAAATGCCATAAATAATCCTCGAAGGCGCTGCCGGGGCTGCCAGGGGCACTGCTTGTTCCCCTCGCCACCCAGCTGGCCACGCGCGGCCTGCCTGAGGAGCCCGCGCTGCTGTCACTGGTCCCCGAGGGACAGGGACCGGAGGAGACTTCACCCCTGGCCGAAATTTGGGGGTGGGTAGGGGAGGGTCAGAGCCCCGACCCCCACCCCGAGGCCGACAGCCATCCTGGTGGTGGTCCCCAGGCACCTCGCGCGGTGTCGGGGAGGAGGCTGCAACAACGGGGTGGTGGTGGGGGAAAAAAAATAAAAGTAAAATAAAATAGGAGATATTTTTATTCATCTGTGTCTTCTAAAAATAACCGGCTGCTGGCTGCGGCCCCGCAAGCCGCAGCAGTGAAATCTCCCAAGCGCGTTGGAGATCAAAGCACGTCGCATTGCTCCGGCTTCCTCCCGCACCCCGGCTTCCATCGATCCCCCCCCCGCCCCGGGGATCCCCTCCCCGTATGATCCTCGCTCACCGGCGGGACCGAATCCATCCCAGCCTCCGCTGCTTAGATTTCAGCCCCGAGCCTTGATTTTTTGGGGGAGCAAAGCGGCTTTTTGTGCCCCCCTCCCATGGCACCCCCTCAGGGTGTGCCCCGGTTTTGGCCCCAGATGCAGGGGGGGGGGGTAACGGGGAGGCGGCGGTGGCGGCGCGGGAGCCGGGTGTTTACGGAGGCGCAGGCGGCGTTGCACAACAGGCAGCACGGGTACACCGCGTCCCCGCTGCCGGAGGTGCAGCTGCGCCCGCGGCGGGGACGGGAGGGTGCTGGGGACGTGGGGACCCGGGGGGGGGATGTGGGGACAGGGGGGGGGACGTGGGGACACGGAGACAGGGGGATATGGGGACAATGGGATGTTGGGACACACATGGGGATTTGGGGACTGGGGGGGGACGTGGGGTTGGGGGGGAAATGGGGAATTGAGGACGTGGGGATGTGGGGATATGGGGAGTTGGGGACACAGGGGGCATGGGGACAGGGGGATATGGGGACACGGGGATGTGTGGGACTGGGGGGGACGTGGGAATGCAGGGATATGGGGATATGGGGACATAGGGACACAGGGATGTGGGGATACAGGGATATGGGGACATGGGGAAGTGGGGACACATGGGACACGGGGACATGGAAATATGGGGACTTGGGGATGTGAGGACATAGGGACGTGGGGACACGGAAATATGGGGACGCAGGGACGTGGGGACACAGGGACGTGGGGACACAGGGGAAGCAGCAGGGCCAGCACAGCCGCTCAGTGCAGAGCTGCCTGACCGCAGGGGCCGCAGAGCTGTTTTTTGCAGGAAATCCCCCCAAATTCTTCCTACCGGCGAGGTGGCCGGATGCGCTCATGGCCAGATCCGGCCCTGCGAGCCTCCTCGCCCCGCTCTGACCCCGGTTCCTGCAGCAAAACGGTGCCGCTGAGCGGGGACGAGGCACCCGCGGCACCCACACACGTGGGGACCCAGCGCCCCGCTCGTGCCCCTGCGCCACCGCAGGCCAGGATCCTGCCCTGCCACCTCCAACACCGCCAGCCCTGGGCCTTTCCACGTGCGTTTCAAACCCCAAAATTTCCAGGTTGGGATCCAAATTTGCGTTGCCTCCAGCTGGGGCTGGATCAATGTCCCCAGCCCCGAGGCCGGCGGCGTTTCCTTCCAGCAGCTCCCACCGGGACGGCTTTTCCCCGGCCGCAGGACGCGCACATTGCCGAGGTTCTCCCTCCTCCAGGGGAAAAAAAAAAATTAAAAACCCGAATTATTATTAAACATGACGCGAGTGTTAATGCATTGAGAGAGGGGGGAAGGGTCTGAGGCTCCCTCCTGCACCCGGCGCGGGGGGGAAACCGCCGGAGATAACGCCCCGAGCGCCGGGCTGCAGGATGCAGCGGGGCCGGAGCGGGGATTATAAATAACGTCCGGCCCCGCCGCGCTGGCTGGGGGCCACTGGTAGCACAAAGTACATTCCGGCCGGGACGTAACGAACTGTACCAGCCTCTGCCGGGGCCCCCTGGCCTCGTCCCACTGTCAGGATTTGGGTGGCAGGGGGGGGTGAAGGGTGCACAACCCCTTGGGGATGTGCCGTGGGGTGGGGATGCATCGCCGGACCCCCCTGATGTGCCCGAGTGGTTATAGGGACACCTCGGTTATGTTGGTTGCATCCCACCCCCCAAAATAAAATAAAATAAATCCCCAAAAAACACATCCCTGCCCTGCAGCTCATGGCTTGGGGAGGGTGCTCGGAGAGGGGGGGGTCTCCCTAAAGAAGCCGGACCCTGACCCCGCAGCGTGCGGCACCTCGCGGGCGAGGCGGGCGGGCGGCGTGCCAGGCGCCCGGCGTGGGGACGCGATGTACCGGGCGCGGGAGAGCAGGGAACAGCCTGAGTCAGCAGCCGGGGAAGTGGGTGTGCGAGGGAAACCGCTCCGCGGGGCTGCGGCCAGCCCTGGCTCCTGCCCGGGGTGGGGGGGTGTCCCTGGGGGGGGTTCCCTAAGGGGTAAAGGGGGGAGCTGCCTGCTGCCTGGAAAGGGGTCGCAGGGAGGAATTCGCCTCCCCGGTGCTGGAAAGGCCCCGTAAAAGGGATGGGTCCCTGCTCAGGTCGCCATGGATGGTGGCACCCCCTCCCCAGGTGGCATCGCCCCCTGTGTCACCCCAAACATCGCCCCCATTTCAGCAGCCCCCCCATTTTGTCCCCCCAGTCTCCCCCCTTTCAGCTCGCCCCCAGCCTCGTACCCCACTGCAGCAGCCCCCAGTTTTGTCCCCCACCAGTGTCCCCCCCCCAGCATAAGCCACCAGCATCCCCTTCAGCATCACCCCAAGCACAGCCCCCCGTGCGCCCCCCCTGCGCACCACCCCCTGGCACCTCACCCAGCCCCCAGCATTGCCCCCAACCCCTCAGAATTTGGGGGAATTTTTCATTTTTTGCCCTTTCCAAGCAGCAGCGAGTCCTGCCCTGCTCCCGGGGGGGGGGCTCGGGGCCAGACGTGGCACTGCTGGGCACCGCTCGGCCCCGCCGGGTGGTTTTGGGGTGCCCCCATCCCTTTATCCCCTGGGATGTTCCCCTGCAGCAGCCCTAAAGGAGGGGACAGGAGGGGGGGGGGACACCCAGGCAGGGCCAGCACCCGTCCCTCTTCCAGCTCTGGGGGGGGGGGGGGAACCTAAGAGCAGAAAACCCCACGAGGGACATTGTTCCCCCTGCCACATGCGAAGGCAAAAACGGGAGAGGCCGGGGAAAAAAAAAATTAAAAAAAATCTTCAACAATTGGTTTTGGCAAGAAGAGGAAAACCAGCGAGAGCTTTTCATGAATTTTGCTTTTTTTTTTTTTTTGCTAGAAAGGTTGTTTTTCCTCCAGTGAAAGTTCCAAACGCCGCCACCGTGGTGCCAGTGCCAGCCCCGAGCCCTCTCCCCGGGGCTGTGCAAATCCCCCCCCAGGACTGAAGCAAACCCCAAAAAGGGGCCGGGGCTGGGGGGGGGTGCCCCATGGGTGCAGGATCGGCCCCCGCAACCCCCGCCCGGGTGCTGTGGGTGTGTGGAGGCGGATTTGGGCAGCAGCCCAAGGATTTGGGGCTTCCCCGCATCCGGAGGTGGGGAAAAATCAGGTCCGGCCCCAAAACCCTCCTGGGGCAACCCTGGGGTGCACCAATGACCCCCCCCTCGCACCCTTCATGGAGCCCCCGAGTCCTTTGGGACCCTCGAACCCCAATGCCATGGGGGCTGATCCCATCCCGCTGCCGTCCCCGTGCTCCCGCATGCAGGATTGGGCCCCTGCCCAAGGCTGGGAATTGGGGGGGGGGGCACCCACCTGGGTGCTAAAATCCTGCTGGGGGGGGGGCTCCTCTGCAGGGAATGGGGGTCTGGGGGGATTAATGCCACGCAGAAAGGATCAGGGCGATCCTTGTGGGGGGATTTTGGGGAGGGACTGGCTGCTGGGGGGTGTCCTGAGTGCGGTGGGGAGCCCCTGAGGGGGGGCTGGGGGGGTGGAAAGGGAGCCTCGAGGAAATACTTGCTCATAATTAAATAATAAAAATAACAGCAATGGTGGTAATAATAACAGGAGTGGTAATAATAATTGTAGTGGTAATAATAATAATGATTATAGTAGATCGTGATGGTAATAAGAGTAAGGGTAGGAATAATAATAGGAATAATTAAAAAATAAAAAAATAAAAAAAAAAACAGCCTTTTTGCAAGAAAAAGGGTTAAAGCGGCGCGGCGAAGACGAGGTGAAGGCCATGGGGCCGGCAGGAAAGGGGGGGGGAGAGCGAGGGAGGAGGGAGGTTGGGGAGCGGGAGCGAGGCTGTGCAAGAGCGAGCAGAACATCCTGTACCCTCCTGTTAAAAACAGCCCCGGCGGGGGGGGGGGCACGGGGGGGACACGGGAACATCGCCGGGTGTCCCCCCCTCGGTGCCCCCTCGATTGGCTTTAAGGGGGCGCAGGGGGTGCGGGGTGGTTTTGGGGTGTGGGGGGAGCGGGGTCACCCCGCTGTGGGCATCCCGCTGCGGGGCAAAGTGGGGTGCATGGGGCTTTTTTTTTTGGGGGGGGGATTTATGGGTTTGCCCCCGTTTGCATCGCATGGCCGTGCAAAGTAGTGAGTGTTGGTGGTGGGGGCATCCCTCAAACCCCCCCAGGTCAATTTTTTTTTTTTTTTTTTGGGGGGGTGGGGGGTGCCGCCGCGTCCCCCCCCAGCTCCGTTCGGAGCTGGGGGGGGACGCGGCGGCACCCCCCACCCCCCAAAAAAAAAAAAAAAATTAAATTTTTTGGGGGATCATCTGCCAGCACACGGCTGCTCTGTGCATGTGCCCCCCCCCCCAAAGCTCGGGGTGCCCCCCCCGGGGCTTGCAGCACCCCACAGGCACCAGGGCCCCTTCCTGTGTTTGTTAACGCCGTGACTCAGGCGGCCGCGGGGAGCTGCCAAAATCGAGCCGCTGCTCACCCAGAAATAGGATGAGGGTTTGAGGTTTTAAATTTTTTGGGGGGTGCTGCCACCCTTCCCTAACCCCCCCCCCTCCCTCAACTCTCCCAACCTCGCCAGTATTTCCCTACCAGGGCCAGGAAGATGTTCCCACCCCCCCAAAAAAAATCTGTCATATCCAGGGCATGGCCCAGGCTGTGCCCCCTCCCAGGGGTCCCCCCCAATCTGGTAAAGGGTGACCCCAAAAGAGGGGTCGGGGAGCACGGCAGGGCCCCCAAATCTGAGCATCCCCCCTCCCTATGGGGCTGGGGGGGTCCGCAGGGCTCTGGGGGGTGTTCGGGGAGGTGGGGGCTGCCCTCTGCTGGTGCTGCCTGCGCTGGCCGCATCCTGCCCATGCCAAGGGTGCAGAGCCCCTGGTGGCGCTCCCAGTATGCCCAGTATGCCCAGTAAGTGCCCTGGGGGGGGGGGCAGCACCTCCCTGCTGGCACCTTGGGGTGCTGAGCCCCGAGCAGGTGGCAGGGCTGGGGATATGCGCCACGTCCCACGGCCCTGCCATATGGCACATGTCCCCTCCCCATGTCCCCTCCCCATGTCCTGTGTCCCTTGTCCCCTTCCCTGTGTCCCGTGCCCCCTGCCATTTGTCCCATGCCTCCTGCCCCATATTCCACGTCCCCTTCCCTATGTCCCTTACCATGTGTCCCCTGTCCCCTGCCATGCGTCCCACGTCCCCAGCCCCATGCTCCTCGTCCCCAGCCCCATGTCCCAGCGGGTGCCCAGGCACAGTGCCACCCCCCACGCCGGGCGCAGAGGGACAGGACCCCCCCATGGGACACGGGTGCTCCCCTGGGATCACCCCACCCCACGTCCCCAGCTCAGTGGCTTCGTGTCCCCGGGTGGTGTGACAAAGTGACAGCACGGGGGGGGGTCTCCAGTATTCAGGGGGTATCGGGGACCCACGTGCGCCCCGTCCCGGTGCTGCCCCTGACCTCACAAGGCTCCGCACCCTGGGGACGATTCTGCTTCTAGAAGCCCCCCGGTCCCTTGGGGCTCCGGGGGCTGCGGTGCCGGGGATGGCGGCGTGCTGGGGGACATGGACGGGGCGCCACGTCCTGAGCGTGGCCACGGGCGCGGGGGCCATCTACCTCCTCTACAAAACCGTGGCGGACGGGCTGAGCAGCGCGCCCGACAGCACCGAGTGCTACCGGCTGGAAAGCCCGGACCAGCGGGAGGGTGGGTAGGGAGAGGACCACCGGGATCCCCCCTCCGCCACCTCCCTGCCTCAGTTTCCCCTCCTGCGGGACGTGAACCCCAAGCGAAATTTGGGTTCTCCATGGGAACCACGTTGCGCCCCGGTGCGACCGTGGCTCCCCGCTTGCTCGCAGGGCTGCCCGTGGAGGAGGTTCTGAACAGGAAAGTCTGCGAGGAGCTGCTGGAAATGCTGAGGGTGCAGCAGGACGGCCGGTCCCGCAGCGCCATCCTGCGCAGCATCGCCCGCTGCATCCACCTGATGGACACGGAGGTGAAGTGGACACTTTGGGGCACAGCACCAGGGCACCCCGCTGCGCTCCGGGGTGCTGCGGTTCCCATCCCCATCCCATCCCTATCACCACCCCATCCCCATCCCATTTCTCTCCCATCCCATCCCGCTCTGGTCTCCCTCCAGAAGCCCACCTGCAGCCCGGAGCACATCGAGCTGGTGGCCTCCTGCCTGGACGACCACAACCGGGACACCAAGATCCAGGCGCTGAACACCCTCAGGGCTTTTGTCACCCGGTCCCTGTTCACTGACAAAATCCGGGTCAGTGCTTCCCCCCCTCACACCCCCTGTGCCCCCCCACCGTGGCTGGGTGTGCACGGCTCCCTGATCGCCCCCCCATCTCATCCCCGCAGGATTATTACCCCAAGATCCTGGATATGGTCACCTGCTCCCGGGACGTGGGGGTGCATCTGGCGGCGCTGCAGCTGCTCAATGCGCTGCCCGTGCCCCCCAACATCGAGCCGCTGCTGCGCCGCACGGTGCCAAACCTGCTGGGCTTCCTGCAGCTGGACAACCACAACATCCAGGTACGCTGCCCCCCGTGCCCGGTGGGGACCCCCCCTGCACCGTGCCCACCCTCCCAGCCTCATCCCTGGTGTTTTTTGCAGCTGCAGGTCCTCAGGCTGCTGGTCACGCTGTCCCGCATGGAAGAGCTCCTGCCCGACATCCTCAACTGCCAGGTACGGCCCCCGGCCCCGCGCCCGGTGGGATTTGCAGGGGGATTTGCATCCTCGTTTCCACCCTGGGGCTGCCCCAAGCCTGGCCGCTGTCTCCCAGCATTTCCTCAACCAGGTTCGGCCCGAAATCCTGAGCCTCTTGAACAACTCGCAGCCGGAGAAGCTGCTCTCGGAGCTGCTGCTGCTGCTGGAGGTGCTGCACGAGGGCTGCTCGCAGCCCCGCCGCCCGAGCAAGAGCCCCAAGAGCAACAGCTGCTCCCTCTACGAGGTCCTTTTCGGCGAGAACTCCGACCTGGCCGACCGCCTCATGGTCATGTTCGTCCACCCCGACCTGACGGTGCAGGTCCAGGCGTGCAAACTCGTCATGAAGCTGCAGTTGCACAGGCTGGATGGGGAGGTGGCCGCTGCCCTGAGCAGGCACAGGGCAGGCAGCGCTGCCCTGAATCACATCTTGCCCTCCGTCAAATCCGCTTCCTAGGGGACGTTCACAGCCGCCGCGCTCGCAGAAGCAAATAAAACCCAGCACAGCTCCCTCACTGCTGTCCCCTGCACCCTTTTTCTGAACTGCCCCCGGCTTATCGTTCGGCCACAGCGCTGATCAATGCCCCTTTTCACACGCCAAACACAAAGCTGCCTCCCCGCGGCTTTCCCAGGACCTTCTGGCCCCGCTGCCCCTGCCCCGTGCCAGGACACATGGAGTGAAAACGCCGGCTTGCGACAGCAGAAATGCTTTTTACTAGAACCCCCTGACGGCACCAGGTTTGTTCTGGGGGTGCCGGGGGGGCTCACAGTCCTTCACCGCGCCACGTCGTTCTTGTCCCTGCAGATGCCGAAGTCGCTGTTGGTGATGGAGCCCACGATGCTCCTGTCGGCGTCGCAGGTCAAGCCGCTCTCGCAGGGACACTTGTAGTAGACCCCATAGAGGCTCTGCGGGGACGGGGGCACGGTAGAGGGGCCATCCCGGCCCCCTCACCTTGGGGGGGTGACCCACGGGGACGGGCTGGGGACACAGCACGTTGCTCAGGCACCTACCTTCGGGGAGCAATCCTGGAGCTCGGCCGCCTTGGGCACGCACCGTGCCAGGCTCAGCCCGCTGTCGCGCTGGCAGCAGCCGCTCTTGCACTGGGCACTCTGCAGGCACAGCTCCCCGGTGTCCTGCAGCAGCGAGGGGAGGTGTGAGCCCCACGTTTGGCTCAGTGCCCCCCCCCCAAAACCACAGCCATGGAACCAGGGGGTTGGGGCAGGTGTTGGAATCGCTTCCCTGCCCCTCTGCAGCAGGAAAGATCCCTCACAGCCCTGCAAAACCCAGCACACCGTCCCGTCTGCCTCAGTTTCCCCAGCTGCAAGTGAGATTTGCTCTCAGGGGTGCAGCCATCACCTCGGGGCACCCCCACGGCCACCGCCAGAGATGCAACAACGCGGCCACCTCCGCGCCCCAAGCGCCACGCTCCCTGGCTGCAGCGAGGACAGGCTTTTCTCCTCTTACCAAATTAAAGATGAGCCCTCGCTCAAGCGACGCGGCCAGGGCCGGGGCCAGGAGCGCCAGGGAGAGGAGGAGGCCGATTTGCAGCGTGCTCGCCATGGTGGGCTCGCTTGGGGCTCTGCTGCGGGTGGCCGGGCACTTTATAGCCGGCACCTCCGCCAGCTGACGCAGCCTCTCCTATCACAGCCAACCTTCCCCGGGCTGCCGTGGAGGAACGGCGATGCCCTCGCTGCCCGGGGTGCAGTGCCAGCGCGGGTGGCGGCATGGCACAGAGCTGGGGATGATGTGTCCCGTCCCCAGGTGCCCTTCCTGCAGGGATGATGCCTCCTTGCCATACGGCAGCGCCTTTGGCCAAAGCAGATGTGGAATAACAGCGCTGGGATTGCCACGGGGGGACCAATCCTCCCTGCAATCCTTCGCCCTGAGCCCCGGGGAGCTGGGATGAGCCACTGTCTCCTAACTGCCCCGCTCGCATGGGGCTTCAAGGGCAAACCGAGCCCCGATGGAACAGCAGGAGCTCTGGGAAAACACCAAATCCCAAACCCAGCTGCTCCATCGACCCAACGTTACCACCAAGAAACCCGCTTAAGGAAACCCAAAGTGTGGCAGGAGCGAGCCCACCCCCTGCCAACCTCGCTCGGGGCCTCAGAGCCCACCGAGGTCCCCCCGGCACCCCCTGGATGTTTGCTCTCAGTGTTTCAGCGGGTGCATTTCAGGGGGGCATTTGGCTAATGAGAGGAAAATAGCTCTGGGAATGGCACAGCTTTTAGCACCCACGTCAGCCCCGGCTGCTCTGGGCAATGATTAACGCCCCGGGCAGCCCTGACCTTCGGCAGCCACGGGGGGTGAGGCTCAGGCTGGCCCTGGCTGCAGGGCAGCGCCACGGTGGCACCTGGCAAAAGGCCCCGAGGTGCCCACGGGTGCTCTGGGGGGTCCTGGCACCTCGTCCCCTCCCTGCCTGCACCCCACCAGCCCTGCTGGCTTGGGGCTGGGACCCACAGGGCCCCGTGTGTGCTCCAGTGGGGAAAGGACTGAGGTGATGCTGGGGAGGGCGGAGGGGAGCAGCCTTCGGCACACAGCTGGGGTGCACAGAACAGCCCAGGACACATCCTGGGACACAATAAGGGGTGCACAGCACATCCCAGGGGCATCTCAGCACGTGTCCTGGGGTGCGTCACACATCCCAGTGCACTCAGCAAGGACCTGGGGCATACAGCAGGGGCATGAAGCACATCCCCGGGCACAGAGCATGTCCTGGGGTGCATCCCCAGGCACGGAACACATCCCAGAGGGGACCCTGAGAGCATCCTGGGGTGCACAGTGGGGTGCAGGGCACATCCTGGGGCATGGGGTACACGGTGGGCTGCACATGAGGGCACTGGGCACATCCAGGGGTGCTCGCTGAGGCACGTGGTGGAGGTACAGGTGGTGTCCCAGGGATGCATCCACGGTGCTCGTCTTTGGTATGCACCCTGTGCCCACCCTTCTTGGGTTATAGAGGATGGGGGTGCATCCCGTGGGCACACGGGGGGCAGGGGGGGGGCACAGGGCGCACGTAGGGTGCACAAAGCACATCCCAGGGTCGCATCCTGGGGACACGGGGCACATCCAGGGGGCACACGGTGGGGACATGGGGCATATCCCGGAGGCACAGCCCGGTGGGTGCACAGTTTGGGCACAGGGTGCATCCGAGGGGAATGGGACAAATCCCAAGGACACCGGGGCACGATTGGGGGCACATCCCAGAGGCACATCCAAGGGGCATATCCCGGGGCCGTGGAGCGCATCCTGGGGGCGCATCTGAGGGGCACAGGGCGCATCCAGGAGGCACATCCCGGGGGCGCATCCTTGGAGCGCATCCCTGGGGCACCGGGGCACATCCGAGAGGCACCGGGGCGCATCCTTGGGGCACACCCCGGGGGCGCATCCCTGCCTCCTTCCCTCCCCATCCCTGCTCGCTGCCTGGGGTCTCGCCGCCGCCTCCCGGGGCGGTCCCGGGGAGGGGGAACGGAGGCGGCGAGGGGGGGGCGCGCCGGCGCAGCCCGAGCCTCCCCGCGGCGCCGCCGCCGCTCTCGGCCGGGGCGGAGCGGGGCAGGGCCGGGAGGGGACCCCGGGAGGAGACCCCGGGGGGCGGCGGGGGCCGCTGGGGGCCCGGTGGGGTCCCCGCTCCGGCCATGCCCAAGCTGCTGCCGGCGCAGGAGGCGGCGCGGATCTATCACACCAACTACGTGCGGAACGCCAGGGCCATGGGCGTGCTGTGGGCCCTCTTCACCCTCTGCTTCGCCATCCTGATGGTGGTGACCTTCATCCAGCCCTACTGGATCGGCGACAGCATCGACACGCCCCAGGCCGGCTACTTCGGCCTCTTCTCCTACTGCATCGGCAACGCGCTCACCGGCGAGCTCATCTGCAAGGGCAGCCCCCTGGATTTCGGCACCATCCCCTCCAGCGCCTTCAAGACGGCGATGTTCTTCGTGGGCATCTCCACCTTCCTCATCATCGGCTCCATCCTCTGCTTCAGCCTCTTCTTCTTCTGCAACGCGGCCACCGTCTACAAAGTCTGCGCCTGGATGCAGCTGGCAGCAGGTGAGCGGGGCCAGGGGGTAACGGGCAGGGCTGCGAGGGGTCCGTGGGGAGCTGCTGGTCCCCCTCGACTGTGGCACGGTGGGGCTGGACAGGAAAGGGACAGCAGCACAACCTCTGTGCCCGCTCTGCTCCCTTGGACGGGTTAGAGGAGGAATTTGCAGTGGGTAAAGCAGCCACTGTGCAGCTGAGACCTGATGGACTCAGTGCATGTGGGCACTGATCCTGCTGCAAAACCTCGTGGGATGAGGGACCCAGCCCCTGGTGGCCCCAAACCGCAGTGGGACCAGTGCTTCAGAGCATCCCTCGGGGAGCAGGGCTCCATGCTCCGAGCATTGGGGATGCAGCAGGGAGATGGAGAGCGCATCGCTGGGTCCTTTTGTGCCTCCCCTGTCCCCTGCAGAAGAGCACGGGGCAGATGTAAGGTGTAGGGACTGAACACAGGCTCAGTGCCACCACCCCCCTTTCCCACTTTTCTCATCCTCACACCCCTCCACCCCACTTTGCAGCCCCCTCCGGCCCCAGACACCTGAGATATCGGTAACCCAGCCTGATCCAGCGCCGCTGAAACCCAACCCCAACCTGTGCAGCTCCTGAATCATTGATGCAGGGACCAGGCGCTGTCCCCACGCTCCCCAGGTGGCAGCAGCGTGAGGTTGCTCCAGTTCCCAGCTCAAGAAACGAGCTCAAGCGAAGATTTAGATAAGAGGCTTGGGGCAGCTCAGCCTCCCAGGGAGAGCAGGGAAAGGCTTTGCTGCCGTATTTGGGGCTTCTACCTACATTTTTGTGCTGGATGGGGAGAAAAGCACAAGTGCAGGCAGCTCCAGCCATGTGGATATGCCCAAATCTTCCCTGCTGGTGACCCCCCAACCTCTGCTTCAGGCTCCTCGAGGCAGAGGCTCTGAAACCTGCTCCTTAGGGTTTCAACAGCATCTTCTGTGCAATCCCAACCCCAGCCCTCATGGATGGAAAGAGGGAAGATCACTGCAAGGTTTTGGCTCTACCAGATCCAGCAAACGGAGGGGTTCGTTCCCTGCAGAGGGTGTGCAGGGGTACAGCCAAGGGGCTCTGCGTCCCCCCAGGGCTGCTGCTCTTCCTTTTGCTCTTCCACAGTGCTGAGGGCTCCAAATCACAGCTTTCCTCCTGCACCAGGGGATGCAGAGGCTGCTGTGTTTGGGAAAGAGGGAGCAGGAGCTGAGCAGATCCCACTTTCAGGTTTGCTACGTGCCAGGGTTTGTCTTCCCAGGAGAAGCAATTTCCTTCCAGCCTCCCCCGTCCTTGTGCCCTTCCTCACCCATTACCTACAGCAAGGAGTGATTAAGCACACGAGAGGCTGCCTGCTTCTAGATGATGAAAAATGCTCCGTGCTGACCTAGGAAGCTGCCCGCTGTCCTTGCTGCTCTCCTTCCCCTAAGCTAGGGGAATAAAAACCCTTAGCAGAGCACAAGGCAAGCACCCGGAAAGGATTTTCAGGTTGACCACTGCCAGAAAACCCACGGACAGGGGGCAGGAGGTGGTCCTTGGGCAGCTGGTGGCAGGACTCCCACAGCAAAGCTGCAAACACCGCAGGCAAGTGGCCACGTTGGGCACCAAGGTCAGGCAGGGAGGGCTCCCAGCACGGGCAGCTCTCAGCCCCGGCTGGAACCAGCACAGCTGAGCAAGCAGAATTAACCCACACACAAAGCTGCTGCTGCTGACAGCGGCTCCGGCTTGGCAAACCCAAATCCAGCCGTGCACAGAGCAACAAAATTCTCCACCTTGCACAAACTCGGGTGGTTCGTGCAAAACCAAAGTGGTTTTGCTTGAAGGAGGCCTCATTTTGGGGCAACAAGGCCAGTGCTGGAAGAAGCAACAGCGGTGTAGGAAGGCAGCGCCGTGCCCACGCTGCACCATCCCCAGCTCGGATGGAGCACAGCCCCTGCCTCTGGGTCCTGGGGAATATTTAAGCCTTGCCAACCGGTTTTAGCACTTTTCCTGAAATATTTGTGGTCGTGGCTGTGCTATTCCCTGTAACCTCCCCACCTGCACGTGCAGTACCTGCGACGTCTCCCCCTCCTTGCAGCCACGGGGCTGATGATCGGCTGCCTGATTTACCCCGACGGCTGGGACTCGAGCGAGGTGAGGCGCATGTGCGGGGACAAAACGGACAAATACACGCTGGGCGCCTGCACCGTGCGCTGGGCGTACATCCTCTGCATCATCGGCATCCTCGACGCGCTCATCCTCTCCTTCCTGGCCTTCGTGCTGGGCAACCGGCAGGACAACCTCCTCCCGTCGGATTTTAAAGTGGAGAGCAAAGGTAAAAGGCAGCTGGGGCCAAGCACGCGTCCCCAAGGATGGGGGTTATTTGGGGGGTTGCTTCGTGGGGTGACCAGGACAGAGGCAGCACGGGTTGGAGCAGGACTTCATGGAGCCCCCCACCCTGCAAATGCCAGGCAGAGGTACCTGGGTTGAGTCTAGAGCAAAGAAACCCCATGGGCTGTTTGGTTTTTTTGAGCTTTTTGGAAAACAACCCCAAAAAACAAACCCCCCAAAACACCTGCACCAGTATTATTACCACATCCCATTAACACCGCATTAACACTGCAATTACCTTTTTGTTTTACAGAGGAGGGCAACGACTGACAGCCGACCACCACGTAAGTGATGC